TGCCCGACGTTATTATGGAATGGGACTCTCCTTCGAAGGAGTAGTCTTCCTTCTCCTCCTCTACCTCCTGACACTATCAATCGCAAAGGAGGTAAAGTTATAGTGCTGCATGTTTTATATGATATATTTTTGCCACACATAAATCCATAAGAAAAGTCAACAAACCATGTTTCTGAGGCGCGCGAACGGATTAATTGAAATTACAATAATTTCAATGGGAAAAGCTGTTTGGACTCGCGAACGGAGTCAAAGAATGAATTAAATTCGTGACTCGAGGTACCACTGTATATACAATTTTATTTATAGCAATTAACCATTCAGCAGTTCAAGTCAACAAAAATCTCTCATGAGATCACAGCATGTAATAATTTTACGACAACATATTTTACCTTTCTGGTCAAACTTAGTTCATTTTCAGAAATTCAGGCAAGAAAACTCACCATTATTAATAATATTAACGATTTTAGAGCTTACTTCTTGAAGACGATTCATCTATGGTTTGAAACGTGGGGATCTTCATAGACCAGAGTTGCTGTAATCCCATAAAAGGTTTTGTCATCATGAGTTAAATTTCAACATAAAGGATTTTACAGCAGTAATCGAAATTGCGATTTCATTTCTGCTTTACGGAATAATTAACTAAAATGATCAACTTTTTAAATCATAATAATAGGTACGTATAATAGAATTCTAAGATATGACTAACAAATGAAAATTTACTAGGAATATTTCAACCGTTCGTAAAGCAACGTATTCACTTCTAAAAATCAAACCTAAGCTAGGCCAAAAGCAGTTAAAAATGAGACAAACAGTGGAAGTATGCCGAAAAATCAGACACTTATTTTGCTAAACGAAGTTTATAGCACCATAATACGGTGTCTCCTATCAGCATGACAAATTTTTGCTTGTTGTTGTCTTTTTCAGGGTAACAACGAAATCACCGACTCAAAGAAACAGACACTAAAGATACAAGTCTCGTTAGTGACGAATAACTATTCAGTTTAATAAGCTCGCTCAATCAATGTGTAGCAGTTTATAATACCATCAAACCAGATGCGCTTTAAGCAATCATTACAAGCATCCTAAAGAACGAAAAACTGGAATGATGCTACGGTGTTCAGCGTTTCAGCAAACTTAAAGTTCAGACCTAATGCCGTTAGAAACTAAGAACGGCTCTACTAATTAGATCACGTCTATTTGCTGGCAACAGTACGAGATTTCGGTGAGTTCGTTTGTCAGCTGAACTACATACGACAACTGGAGATGACCATTCAGTACAAGCGTAGAATCGATACCGAGAAGTTCAAGGATCGAAACCGATCGAGTTACTCGTCCTTATTACTCCCGAGCTAGATAAATGTGGCAAAGAAACAGAAAACTACGCATCATGCTTACCACGTAGCTGCTGTCGACTGACTTCAAAAATAAGGTATTTCAGGCTGATGGCTTCGAAACAGAGATCGGCGTACTGTCATTAACGTTATGAAAAGAAGGGCGCCAGAAATGGGTCAATCAAGGAAAAAAGGAAAGAGTGACATTCTAATGGTTACAAATTTTTAATCTCTTCTTTAGAACTACTTACGGACATTCCGAAAAATGAATATTACAGCAATTACTTTTTCGTATATCAT